GAGATGGTGACCTCTGAGCAGCAGCAAGTGGCTTGCAAGACATTCTGGTCAAATGTGAAAGGATTAAGAGGGTAGAGAAAGTCTGCATAGCTTTCAGAGAAGGACTGTGTACATGCTGTTGTTGTTTAGTCGTTTAGTCGTGTCCGACTCTTCATGACCCCATGGACCAGAGCACGCCAGGCACTCCTGTCTTCCACTGCCTCCCGCAGTTTGGTCAGACTCATGTTTGTAGCTTTGAGAACACTGTCCAACCATCTCGTCCTCTGGCGTCCCCTTCTCCTTGTGCCCTCCATCTTTCCCAACATCAGGGTCTTTTCCAGGGAGTCTTCTCTTCTCATGAGGTGGCCAAAGTATTGGAGCCTCAGCTTCACGATCTGGCTGTGTACATGCTATACCTCTAAAGCACATTCAAAGCACATTCCTTCCCTCAAAGAATTCTGGGCCCTTTAGTTTTACCCCTCACAGAGTTACAATTCCCAGCAACCTTTAACAAACTGGGGTTAGTTAGTTGCAAATGTGCTTTGGAGCAGGAGGGAGGGGAAGTGCTCTATCCTACAGCAGCTCAAATGACAGAGAGTTTAGCCAGCTGTTATGCCAGGAACCTACACCCTGTTAAGATCCATATGGCACATTTGCAAAGTGAAGTCTTGTAAAACAGCTGCTGCATACTTGTATCATTCTGTCCAGGGCCAGGCAGATCTCCTATCTGCAGAATTCCTGTTCTTCCTGTCATCTCATGCTGCTGTTCCCAGCCCAGCTAGGCAGCTGTCCCAGCCTAATAGGCAGGAACGTAATGTAGGTCAGGTGTGGTTTGTGCCTGCCGAAGAATAGGGTGACAGAACAGTGCCAAGGCGAAACCCTAGGCAGCTGCCAGAAGTAAGCTGGGAACCAGGGGTTTAGTCCGGGCAGCACACACACACACACACACACACACGGCCTAACTGCACAATATGCTAATTGCATCACTTGCAATTATGTCAGGGGTCAGCAAACTTTTTCAGCAGGGGGCCAGTCCACTGTCCCTCAGACCTTGTGGGGGGCCGGACTATATTTTGAAAAAAAATATGAATGAATTCCTATGCCCCACAAATAACCCAGAGATGCATTTTAAATAAAAGGACACATTCTACTCATGTAAAAACACAGATTTCCAGACTGTCCACGGGCTAGATTTAGAAGGCAATTGGGCCGGATCCGGCCCCGGGGCCTTAGTTTGCCTACCCATGAATTATGTCATAATTTTTGTCTTTCTTCAGTGACAGACACGGGAGGCAATGTTCACTGGGAACACAGCAGGTCAGGAAGGGGGGGGGCCTTAATCCTTCCCTCTGCATTTGCATTGTGAACCACCCTGTGGGCACTGCAGTAAGCTTTGGAAACAGGTCCCACTCATGCCAGTATGTCAAGGAGCTGTCAAGCAAGTCAGGACAACTACAGGGCAGGCGGGCGCACACACACACACACACACACACACACACAGAGAGAGAGAGAAGGCACGGAATGCAGTTAGCTTTTTATTCACAGTCCGTCTTAAGCCAGCTGAGACATTGCTGAAGCTACTAGCTCTTCCCCTTTCCCTATAGTCTTTCACTCTGGATCTCTCCGAAGCAAATGAAGGCTGCGTCGAAGCTGTGAGCTCCTCCTCTGGGCCTGTCTGGCTCAGCAATGCGCAGGATTCTCCTCATGTGGGGTGTCAGAGGGGGAGGAGAGCCAGCAGGACTGCGACTGGCCTGCTGCTGGGTAGCCAGGGCAACCTCTGACTCTTCTCTGTCTGAATCTGCATTCACACTGTGACTCTCAACCTTTAACACTGTCCGGGAAAGGTCTCCTACTCCTGACCTCCGTCCCCCTTGATCGCTCAGACCCTCTGCTTCTAGCATCTCCCAGCTCATCCCTTCTGCAGACTGCTTTTCAGTGTCCCACCACCAGGATCCAGGATCTACCGTAAGTTGTTGTCTTCTGTGCCCTCTTGGACAGATGGTTCTCACCACTCTTCCTCATCCAGCCAGTCCCTGACACAATAGTAAGGTAAAGGTAAAGGGACCCCTGACCATTAGGTCCAGTCGTGGCCGACTCTGGGGTTGTGGCGCTCATCTTGCTTTATTGGCCGAGGGAGCCAGCGTACAGCTTCCGGGTCATGTGGCCAGCATGGTTCACTCTGGCGAACCAGAGCAGCACATGGAAATGCCGTTTACCTTCCCGCCGGACCGGTACCTATTTATCTACTTGCACTTTGACGTGCTTTCAAACTGCTAGGTGGGCAGGAGCAGGTACCGAGCAACGGGAGCTCACCCCATCAAGGGGATTCGAACCGCCGACCTTCTGATCGGCAAGTCCTAGGCTCTGTGGTTTAACCCACTTCGCCACCCGTGTCCCTGACACAATAGTACTCACCCGCGTCCCTGACACAATAGTACTCAACACCTGATGGAGAGCAGTTCCCCTGGACAGGGTGCTGAGCCGAGGAGGTGCAAAACTGAGAAGATACACAATTGAGAAGATCCATTTGGAGGTGCCAAATTTTGGCCTCACGAAGGGCACCATATTATGAAATATTACCAAAGTCCTCCCACCTGCTTCTTCTTCTTTGGTGATCTCTTGTAGCTGAGTAAGATTGTCTTCCATAAACACGGTTTTAACAATGAGTCCGTAAGTGACGGTGGAGGCCAATTCTGGATCCACACGTCCTTCCACAGTGGGGACATTGGTTTCCAGGCGGGAGTTGATCATGGTGTGGATTTGCCAATAGCCCTTCATCTCAAAGAAAGACACCTGTGCAATTTCCTGATCTTTTCCCTAGCGATAGCGATGAAGAAGATGAACCCGGTTTCAGCAATCTATCCGCAGTATGAGGTTCTTTAGAAGTTGTTGCCATGAGAGTGTCAGGGTCGCTGTCAGTAAGACTGTAAGCAAAATAATTAGTGTCAAGTGTAGCACACTCTACCCTAGTATATGCATTTTTGTACGCATTACTTGGCTGGAGGACTGCATTACAAATCTCAGAGAAGTGCAGATTTCAAAGGGGGGCTGTGTTTTGATTTGTACGTTGTTTTGGAAAATGCAATCTAGGTAGGTATGTCTTTAAATGCAGACTAAACTGAATTCAAGACAACCAAGGGCTTGATGCCCTTTCTACGGTTTTGCCTTCTCATGCCACTGCCTCTTTGTAGTATTCTCTGCCCCTTGGGAGAGAGAAAATACAGCAAACGGTGGTGCAGCCACCCGGAAGAAATTTGGGAGGCACCAACTCGGTAATTTGTTTGCCGCTACAGGTTGCTGAAAGTTAAGAGTTGCCAGAAACTAATTTTGCTTCTTATGCAGTGTTCAAAACTATGGGCAGAGGGAGAAGAGCAGAGTATTAACTTTGGGTTGGATCCATTTGCCCAGGGATGGAAAGAAGAAAGAGCCCCATCAAAAGAAGAACGGATAATGAAGATGATGGACCATGCGGAGATGGCAAGGCTGACCGGGAAGATCAGGCACCAAGAGGATAACAAATTTAATAGAGAATGGCATAACTTTATAGAATATATTAAAGAACACTGTAAAAATCTTAAAAACATTAGCAGGATTGACATAGCACTTGTAATTTAAAATAGCAAAGGATAAAAATGAAGTACAATAATTTGGATAAATGCAATCAGATGCAGTTTAAAAAGGAAGATAAATTTTGGAAGCTAAGGGGGGGGGAGTCCAGGGGTTTAGGGAACCCCATAAATGTACTGATATGGACTATGGTTTAATGTAAACAAGTGTGTGTGTGTAAAAAATAGTTTCTTCTTTTTGAAACTTGGGGGGACGGGACAAAAAACCCCCCACAAAACTTTGAGTTGGATCCAGACTTAGTTGCCCTTAGTTCCAATGGGATTTAGGTGAAGTCATGATGATTGACTTGCCCAGTGCCCTGTTAATTTCAATGAGGCTTCAGATAAATTAACTTAAGAGTCAGTGTAATTGTACAATTCTGCTGAGGCTGTGAACTTAGCCGACTGTCTGTGGTACAACAACAAGATATGCTATACACCCCAGGGAGACAAATACCTCTTTGATATTTCTCTCTGAAACGACGCCGGGTAGAAAAAGATATCTAATAATAGGAGTAAAAGTCAGCAGAGCCGAAAAACGGGAGTGCTGACAAAGCAGTGTCTAATGACAGGTACCAAAAAACTCCCATTGTTCTGACGCCCTGAGACCTCTGCCTCAGCAAGTTCCAAGGTTGGATCCTGGAGAGCAATAAGAGATAACTAAGACCTGGCGTCCTATGTTTCTGGTTCAGCATGGTAGCACACAACTGGCAACTTGGGAAGTTCTTCTTCTTTGGCAATTACTCGTAGCCGAGTAAGATTGTCTTCCATTAACACGGTTTTAACAGTGAGTCCATAAGTGACTGTGGAGGCCAATTCTGGATCCACATGTCCTTCCACAGTGGGGTCATAGGTTTCCGGGTGGGAGTTGATCACGATGTGGATTTGCCAAGTGTGCCTTCCTCTTAACATGCTTCTCCCTTTCGTCCTGCGTTCAAGTGTCTTCAAAGCCCATGACACCTTTGGTAAAGGCTGTTCTCCAATTGGAGCACTCGCAGGCCAGTGTTTCCCAGTTGTTGGTGTTTATACTACATTTTTTTAGATTTGCCTTGAGACTGTCTTTAAACCTCTTTTGTTGATCACCAGCTTTATGCTTTCCATTTATAAGTTCGGAATAAAGTAGTTGCTTTGGAAGACAATAATCAGGCATCCGCACAACATGACCGGTCCAACAAAGTTAATGTAGAAGAATCATTGCTTCGACACTGGTGATATTTGCTTCTTCCAATACACTGGCATTAGTTCGTCTGTCTTCCCAAGTGATGTGTAAAAATGTTTGGAGACACCATTGATGGAATCTTTCGAGGAGTTGGAGATGGCGTTTATAAGTGGTCCATGTTTCACATGCATGCAGTAAGGTTGGTGGTACAACAGCTTTGTAAACAAGCATTTTGATTTCCTATGGGAAGTATTATGGGGTTAGCTCAGTTGATTAGAGCAGGGTGCTGATAACGCCAAGGTCGCGGGTTCAATCCACACATGGGCCACCTGCATATTCCTGCATTGCAGGGAGTTTGGACTACGAGGTGATCCCGTCCAACACTACAGTTCTAAGCATCTATGAATTTTGGGGGGATGCATCAGCTGTGAATGTAGGGATCCTGTTCTGTGGGTTACACTAACCATACTTGTCTGGCTGCTGTTGCATAGGCTAAGGGCCTAAGCTATGGAAACCGGATGTGTTCCTTCTCCCTCTTTCTGAAATCAGAGTAGTCTGGCAGTGCCTCCAGGCTGTCTGTATTTTGCTGGATGGAATCAAGCACATACCAGACCTTCAGGTTTGCACATTTAAAGTGGATTGAAGTGCTCTGTCACCTAGCAGAATAAACCCACTTAAAACAAACAAAGCATACTTTTTCCGGTTCGGAAAGTGGTGGGGAAATGCATTTAAAAGTGTGGGATGAATGAAAGATCAACAAGAAGTTATATAAATGTCCTGCGAGCAAATCAAGATGATTGCTCAGTGTCAGATAAGTGCCCTGTAAACAAATGCTCAGGAAATACCAGGCATAGTCGATCCAGCACTAAGTTTTGTGCAAGTGAATCAGGATGGATATTGAATACTTTTAAGTCAAGAAGCAATATTATATTCTAAGATGAGCATACATGCAAATAAAAAAAGAAGAAGCCATATTCACATTTAGAAAATAATTCGCTAGGCATCTCAGTAATATTAATTCCCAAACCAATTTCAGGTAATGTGGTTAAATGTTATATTTTAGTCCAGTCTAAGTTTCCAAAGACCAATAGCCAACAGTTATTTATTGTTCATTGAATCTGAACAGGCAGAGATGTCATGAATCATAATTCAGCCTTCTCCAATATGGTACCCACCAGATGTTTCGGACAGACTGATGGGAGTCGTATTCCAAAACAGCTAGAAGCCACCACCAGGCTGGTATAAATACCGTATTTTTTGCACCATAACACTCACTTTTTTCCTCCTAGAAAGTAAGGGGAAATGTCTGTGCGTGTTATGGAGGAAATGCCTACGGGTGGCATGCCTACGGATTTTCCTCCTCTAAAAACTACGTGCGTGTTATGGTCGGGTGCGTGTTATAGAGCGAAAAATACGGTACATTAATCTGGCATGCATTGGATTTTGCAATTAAAGCTACTTGTGGGATGCTCAGTCATGTGAGTCTTTCCAAGTTTTTTAAAACTGCAAAGCAGTCCTGGAGGCTGCTGTTGAGAGCATGATGAGACTCTAAAGGAAAGGGGTCGCCTAATACTTTTCCTTCCCACCTCATGTCTACACACAATTTCCTGCCCTCTGGCTGTATCTTGCAGGGGTAGGAAAATGGGGAGCGGGACATTTTGAGCAGCCAAATAACAGGAAGAATTAAACTCCTTCCTCTAGTCACTTCCCACTCTCAATCCCATTCTTCAAAGTTTATAAAAAGTGTTTTATAAAAAGTGTGGGGAGGGGGGGAGAGAATTGCACGGCTATGTGTCATGTGCAATTTGACCCACCATCTATATTGTTTTCGTCTGCTCAAGTTTGTCGCAGGCAGCTTAGAAAGCTGAAGGCGGCAAATTGCAGGAGCTAGAGCTGAGCCTGTAACTTGGCACTGCTCCAGGCTGGTGTTTTGCTCGGGGTTTTCCTGCAGCATGCCATCCTGCTTCCAGACTCTCCCTATTTTGGACAAACCGAGGCTACACAATTCAAGCAGACTGAATTGGAGCTCCGGCAAAGCACTCTTGCTTCCCCCAAAGATTTTTATTTTTATTTTTGCTGTAAGGAAAGTGACAGGGAAATGCCCTGGACAGTGTGGAACTACAGTTGCTTGACACAATGCCATCTGATCTCCTCACAAAGAAATCAGGAAGAATGCTCGTTAAAAAGCCGAGCTCATCTAATCTCTCTGCAAACAAATCAAGCTTTGAGTCCCTCCAGAGAAGAGGTTTACTATTACTGATGCAATAATTCTGTTTTATTCATTCTGTTTTATTGGTTCTTTGGCTTGTTGGTTGGAGATGCAATGCATTTCCAATGTTACCATACTATTGCTGTCTGGAAAGGCTGTAGTGCAGGGGTCCCCAAACTAAGGTCTGCGGGCCGGATAAGGCCCGAGGGACTCGTTTATCCAACCCATGGCGACCCCTGCTGCCCACTCTTACCGGTGCTGTGCTGCGCAGCTGCCCACTTCTGGGTTGGAGGAGCACCAGAAATAGCTTGTGCGCATGCGCAAGCGTTATTTGCGCATGCGCAAGTGTTATTTCTGGTGCACATCCAGGTCGGAGGAGGCCTGTGCACATGTGCACAAGCTACTTCTGGTGCTCCTCCCACCCAGTAGTGAGCTGGAAATAGCGTTTGCGCACACGTATGGGCACACGCTCCCCTGCCCTCCAGCCCGCCGCGCAACCAGCACTGGAGACACTGGCCTGAGGCACGGTAAGTTTGCTGACCCCATACACATGCACCCCTGAGAAAATTACATGATTTCATTAGGCAGTTACAAGATAAGCAATGATTGGAAAAGAAGCCGTATGACTGGCCTGCAACTTCTGCAGGCTCAAATAGCATTGTAGACAGAACCACATATCATAGAATCATAGAATTGTAGAATTGCAAGGGACCCCGACGGTCATCTAGTCCAACCCCCTGCAACTCAGGAATCTCAGCTAAAGCTTCCATGACAGATGGCCATCCAACCTCTGCTTAAAAATCTCCAAGGAAGGAGAGTCCATGACCTCCTGAGAGCAGTGGCAGAGCTGCATGATCCAGAACTGGGAGCAGAGAACAGGCAGGGGCGTGGCTGGCGCGCTGCCCGTGGGGCATGGCGTGCTGCTAGCAGGGGGTGGTGCCTGGCGCACGTCCCAGCAGTGCACGGGGGCAGACACGATGGCATCCCACCAGGGATGGTACCCGGAACAGACCACTTACCCCGCCCCCTTCCTCCGCCAGTGCCCAAGGGAGACCATTCAACTGTTGAACAGCTCCTCCTGTCAGAAAGTTTTTTCCTGATGTTTAGTCGGAATCTCCTTTCTTGTAACACAAAGCCGTTGGTTCGAGTCCTACCCGCTTGGACTACTGCAATGCGCTCTACGTGGGGCTACCTTTGAAGGTGACCTGGAAACTGCAATTAATCCAGAATGCGGCAGCTAGACTGGTGACTGGGAGTGACCGCCCGGACCACATAACACTGGTCCTGAGAGATCTGCATTGGCTCCTAGTACATTTCTGAGTACAATTCAAAGTGTTGGTGCTGACCTTTAAAGCCCTAAATGGCCTCGGTCCTGTATACCTGAAGGAGCGTCTCCACCCCCTTCAGCCCGGACACTGAGATTCAGTGCCTAGGGCCTTCTGGTGGTTCCCTCATTGCAAGAAGTGAGGCTACAGGGAACCAGACAGAGGGCCTTCTCGGTAGTGGCACCCACCCTGTGGACCGCCCTCCCTTCAGATGTGAAGGAAATAAGCAGCTATCCTATCTTTAAAAGACATCTGAAGGCAGCCCTGTTTAGGGAAGTTTTTAATATTTAATGCTGTGTTGTTTTTAACACTTGATTGGGAGCTGCCCAGAGTGGCTGGGGAAACTCAGCCAGATGGGTGGGGTATAAATAATAATTTATTATTATTATTATTATTACCCTCCAGAGCAGGAGAAAACAAGCTTGCTCCATATGACCGCCTTGATAACATAATGAGCACAAATCATAATGAATGTGCATTAAAGTGGACTTTCTGGAAGGGCCCCTGCTCACCATGATCTGGGGGAAGGCACATGGCCCAGCGGGGTGTCAAACCAAAGGGCACAGCTCAGATGCAATCCACTAGACCAGAAAGCCAATCAGAAGAGCCCCACATGCCTCCTGCGTTATCAACAGGCTTCATTCTTTCCCCATGTCTGCCACACTGGGTGGCTTTTTTCTTTCTGCACAAAGCTCAATAGGGAAACAAAGCATTCTGTGGCTTGATCTTTGAGGGAGGGAAAGGTAAGGGACACAGAAGGAGGCTCTGTGCGCAAAGGCAGTAGAGCTGGCACAGACATTCCCAGCACATTGCAGGAGCCAGAGAGGTTGAGATGACAGCTCTCTTATTCTTCAGCAGATGTTTCAGTAATGCTGTTGGAAGGTAGAGCTGCTGAATACAACCTTACTGGGCACACACTGCAGTACTGGATTAAAATATTTCTCCTCCTGCATATGTCCTAAATCAGCCTGATTGCATGTACCTCGGATTAAGAACTTAATTCGTTCTGGAGGTCCGTTCTTAACCTGAAACTGTTCTTAACCCGAGGTACCACTTTAGCTAATGGGGCCTCCCACTGCCGTCGCGCGATTTCTGTTCTCATCCTGAAGTAAAGTTCTTAACCCGAGGTACTATTTCTGGGTTAGTGGAATCTGTAACCTGAAGCGTCTGTAACCTGAGGTACCACTGCATATTCAGAAGCGAGTCTTAAGTAACCATGAACGCTGCACTGTGGTGTAGTGGTTAAGAGCGGTAGAATCATAATCTGGTGAACTGGGTTTGCGTCTCCGCTCCTCCACATGCAGCTGCTGGGTGACCTTGGGCCAGTCACACTTCTCTGAAGTCTCTCAGCCTCACTCACCTCACAGAGTGTTTGTTGTGGGGGAAGAGGGGAAAGGAGAATGTTAGCCGCTTTGAGACTCCTTAGGGTAGTGATAAAGTGGGATATCAGTTCCAAACTCCTCCTCCTCCTCCTCCTCCTCTTCTTCTTCTGCTGTCATTTAGGTCTGTACTTGAGACTATGTCTCATTCTGTTCAATTTGAGCAGCTCAGTGGACTTTCATAGGGCTGGTCTGCACGTTATCGATCTTGCATTCTGTGAAAGTGAGACAGAAGCTGCTGTTGCTGTGGTCTTTAGTTGGTGGCAGGAGCCACTACTGGTTGAAGACTGACAGACAGTATTTTTTCACTAGTGGCACTCCCACCATGTGGTGGGGGAAAAAAATCAAGAAATGGAGCCCCAATGCATGATTAGGTTAGATGTTATCCCAGGTCTACTGCACTCTTGCTCTCTTC